CTGTGATGAGTGGTTGCTCTTTCGGTGTTCAAAAAAAAATTTCAGACATAATTTCTGGTGCATCTTACGTACATTGTGCTGCTCACAATTTGAATCTTGTGTTATCAGATATGGCCAAAAATACTCCCAAAATGTTAAATTTTTTTTAAATTGTTCAAAATTTGTTTTTATTTTTCAGTAGTAGTGCTCCTAGGTGGGCAACATTGGCCTTAGGTGATGACATAGCCGAAATTGTCTTGAAAAAAGTATGTACTACTCGATGGGAATCAAGACATAATGCAGTTTTTGCCCTGAAGTTTCGTAAAAAATGTATTAAAATCATTAACGAATATAATTTTAACTAGTAATAAAAAAGAATAATCTAATAGAGCCATAGGTCTAAAAAAAAAACTGAAAACTTTTAAATTTGTCTTAATACTTTCAATATGGGAACAAATTTTACGACTGTTTTATTTAATTTCTAAGAAATTATAACCACTCTTTCACTCAGTGTATGGCCAGAAGCCCCGTTCTATCGAGAGGTCACACTAGATGTGAAAACAAAATATTACCAACAGCTCGCAATCGTAGACCAACAATAGTTTAAGGATGAGGTTGATAATATAATACAGAAAAACACATAAATTAAGTTTAAATGGGCCAACTGGCCCTACTACTATTAATTGAAAATACAAAGCAGGTAATAATAATAATCATAAAGGTGGGCGCCCTTACACATACAAAAGAAAATACATAGAAATGCGCCGCAGACGCGCTATTCAATATAAATAATAAAAATAATAATAATAATAAAAACTGTCGCAGCAGCACGATATGATCGTACCTTGACGCAGTCCCGGACCGTGTCACGAAAACGGTTAACGATGGATTTGACGAACGCGATTTTCTCAAGTAATTCAAGTTTTAATTTATCGGAGTATGCATTCGAAGTACCGAGCTCGATCAACTGGTCTAAACAGGCATCGTCCTCTACATTGAACGCGGACCAAAATTCGTCGAGTTGATCGACCAAAACAAATAATTGAGATACGAGTTCGTTCTCATCGATGCTGTGCACTGCTACGGTATGAATGGAGCCGATTTGATTTGCGTAACTATGTCGCTTGATTTCGGCACGCTCTCTCGCTCTCTCAGCTTGTTTCACGACTTCATTGGCGGCCATATTTATATCAAATAAGTATGCAGAAAAAAAAGAAAAACCCGAATTAAGTATATAAAAATGTGATCAAAAAAAGGCAAAAAGAAAAAAATATAAAAAAACAGAATTAAATCACGCGCGAATTAACTATTTATTAAAATCACACGTTAATAAACAAAATAAGATGGGCCCATAGATCCTATTATTTTTGATACCACAGCAACTAAAATAAAATAAATTATAATCGGAGTAACCACTTTCTGCTACCAGATATGTAACTACTCTTTCACTCAGTGTACAGCCAGAGATCCCGTACTATCGAGAGGTCACACTGGATTGCAATCGAAGTAACCACGCTCTGCTACCAGAATCTATTGAAACAAGTCTACATCTTGTATGTGGATATTTACAATCATCTATATCATCTATGCAAAATCTAAGAGATAAGTACAACGATATTGTTCAATCAGCAACAGACTTGTGTCATAGTTGGGGCATACCAGTAAATAGTATTATAAAGCGCAAAATATTTTCTAAGAATTTTTTTGGTGATCTGGATGATGATAAACGACAAGATTTAACCCAGGAAAATCTTAAAATTAAAGTATTTTTGTCTGCAATTAATATAACTTTAGTACAACTTAAATACCGTTTCAAAGGTTTACGGGAGGTTGTTGATAAGTTTAACTTTTTATTACCACAAAATATATTTAATTTTAATGAAGATTATCTTGTAAAGTCAACGTATGACTTTATATTGTTTTATAAAGAAGACATTAGTTCAGATTTAACTAGACAAATATTATCTATTAAAGAAATATTGACTGATTCACTCTCAAAAATAAACACTATTCAAAAACTAGCATAATGCATTTTATAAAATGATATGGGATCTCTGTACAAAGATGTATTAATTGCTTGTGTAATTTTTACATCATTACCTGTCACAGTTGCGTCAGCGGAGCGTTCTTTTTCTAAACTTAAAATTATAAAAATTATTTAAGAAACTCCATTGTAAATGAAAGATTTACAAATATAAGTATTCTAAATATTGAACACAACAGAACTCAAGATTTGAATATTATTAAAGTAATTGATGATTTTGCCAATGAAAAAGCACGAAAAAAGAGTTTTTTTAAATAATAATAATTAATTTAGTATTTAAATTGTAGTCTGAACATAATATTTTATAAATAAACTTTTGTTTTGTATTTAATTTTTTTTTATACTGTATAGGTAGATATTATTTTAAAACTTAAAATAATAATAAAAATATTTCCGAGTAAATTGTGTTGTGGTTTACGTATAATTGAATATTAAAATCTTTCATATTAATAAAACTAGACTATTGATATTAAAATGTTAATATTATCTTGTTTAAATTATTATGCTTACTAAATTAAATTATGGTGAAATAATTTTAAAGGGCCCCCAAATTATTGTTTGCACTAGGGCCCCACAAAACCTAGTTGCGGCAATGGTTGTATATTCATTTTTCAATCACATAAAAGAATATGATGTTGGTTGATACACAAAAGAAATTTGGAATTAAAAAAACAAAACTATGTTCGATTAGCGATACAAGGTGGTCTTGCTGTTTTAAAAACTACAAAATCTTCTATAATAAAAGCTTTAAAATATGAAATAGAAAAAAATACTTACAAAAAACATTACAAATGCTATAGGTTAGATTACTTACTCATAGATTTCCATTTAAAACAAAATTACATTGTTAAGTATATTTTAATATTAAATTTTTTTAGGAATTCTGTACACAATGGAAAAAACTTAATTTCTTGTGCATTTGTTTGTTTTACATGAAATTTTACTTATAATTAATATACTAAGTAACAAACTCCAGGAAAAGACTGCAATGTTGGGTAAAGCACCTCAAGTAATAGATTCTGTTATTGCCATCCTAGAAGCTAATCGCTGTGAAGAATATTTTTTAACAATTTGGACTCAAATAACTGAATTTTGTACAAAAAACCACATACCGTTGGAGATATCCATGAATGGTAGATTATTAATAATTCAAAATATATGATAATATTATATATATTATATATAAATATTTTTTTAGTTGTTAAAAATATTAGTTGAAATTAAAAGGCTTTTTATTTTATTAGGATCTATGAGAAAAAGAACACAGCCAAATAAGTAATTATAACTAAGTAATTATATTACTGAAGTAAATACTGGTGAAAGTAAAGAGCATAGTTCAGATGATATTATGACATGCTATCGTATCAATTATTTTATTATTTTGGACACAATAATAATAAATCTTAAATTGAGATTTTCAAAGGAAAGTATGAAGTTGGCTAATAGTGTGGATGGCTTTTTAATGTTTGACTATTCAAAAAGCCTTACATTTATCAACCATTATAAAGTAAGTCAATTAATTGTTTTTAAATTAAACATAAATGAAAAAATAATGGTAATGTTAATTTATTTTGTATAGAATTTATTGAATATCAATGTGGAAAGTTTAAACGCAGAAATGATGGTTGCACAAAATCTTAAAAAATAATCTACCGATAATGAAATGATAAAACCTGCAGAAATGGATGAAATTGTATCACCCAACACTTTTTCAAACTTGTATAAATTGTTGAACATAGTTTATACAATTCCTATTAGTAGTGCTACTTGTGAGAGCATTCTCTGCTATGCGGCGGGTAAAAAATTGGCTACGTTTAGTTGAGCGTTCAAGTTTGATTTTTTCGTGCAATCTACATCTGTTTTAGATGTTTTCGTGCATGGATTTGAATAAATAATAGATTATGATAAATTGATCAATCTTGTGTATGAGAACAAGTGCTTGTGGTATATGAGTGACAAAAATTACCATAACAGAATTTCTCGGCAAAAGTGGGGGAAATTCGCTACAAAACTCAACACTAACTTTTCCGGAATATACCTCAATTTTGAAATAACATTTAAAACTCCCATTTTTCATAATTTCTAAAAAATAACTGGTTGGCAAGCTCAGTTTTTTTACCATTTAACTACAGTAACTACATTAACGAATTTTCAAGAAAATAAAATTCATCTATTTTGTCCATATTTGCTGGACAATAAATACTTACTGATAATCAGAATATCGAAAAACGCACAGTGTAACCGCCTTGTTCTGACGAGGATTCGGACATACTCGTCAGAACACATTTTGGTCAGAACTCGCATGTATAATAACTTTAGCAAGGCCGTATCTAGAAATTGTTTTCGAGAGGGGTCCAAAACATTGTAATTTGATTGGATTTAACTATTGATATTTAGTTAAAAATAACACAGAAAAATATTTAATCTTCTTTTAATTAGTATCATATTTTTATATGATATTATATAAAACTAAAAGCAGTCAATGGTTAATTGGAGTTTAAGTCATTTTTGACTGAAAATATTTATGTTGGTATTAAAAATAAATAATTATTTTAAACATTCATAAAATATTGAAGAAATTTTTTTTTTAGGGGGGATCCAGACACCGTGGACCCACCCCAAATACGGCCTTGAACCTTAGCCATACATAATAATGTTAGAGAACTTACATAAATGTATATTTTCTTTAACAACATCAACAGCATTTTAGAAAGTTGATAAATTAAAAAAAAAGACAATGTTTCCATGAGAACAATAATTATATAAATATTTGTATAATAAATAATAAAGTAATAAAAAAAAAGTTTATTTGGTAAACCTTTTTATAAAAATATTGTGTGGTTTATTCTTAATATCCTAATTGAATATATATATTATATTGATTATTTGTCATGTATATAAACCTATAAAACATTTTTTTATTTTTTTAAATGTCAACTCAAACTACAAACATAAAAATATTTACAACCAAAAAATAGTTAATAGTATATTTATATTTGAAATAATAAAATATTATAAAATGTTATATTAAATTATAAAAGGGAGTATTCAAATATTACGTCAGCACAATTTTTAGCATTTTTGATCACCCCTTCCATGTCAGACAATAATTATCTCCTCTTATCTTATGTCAATGTTCTTCATAGACATCCCCCTAAATTATTTTATTCTTATTAATAAAATGAATTTCTTCAGTTATAAAAATAAGGATAATAATAATAATAATATTAAGATGGTATGACTTCGATTCTATTGGTAACTCATCAACTTTTGCTTTTTTCACACATTAATTCAAATTTTGATAGTTATTATACTGAAATTAGATTTGAAATTTAGTCCTCTCTTGTAAGGTTTCAGATTTTTTGAACCCCTTCCACTTGGTCTGCTGACGTAATATATTAATAAGTCCTAACATATTTTTACTAAAAACAATTTAATTGAGTATGAAAATAGTTACGTAAAAAATAAAATAGTTCTTTATAATTCAGTAGATTGAATTCTAGTATAAGTATCAGTCGTCAATTGCCTAGTAGCAACCACATTCTTGAAAAATGTATATGATGCTTTTGGTGTACGAGATCGATGAGGATCATTGAAGTCTACTTTGACAATACCAAAATGAGTTGTAAAAAAATAAAAAAACAAAAATTTATTTATTTATACAAATAAAATAACGTTGAATTTAAAATTATTTTAAATTTTGATCATAATATTAATATGGGTTTTTGACTTTTCCCAGACCCATCATTGTTTTTCTAAAAACACGTCTTGAGAGTTGTCAATTAGATTGAATGTCCGGTTATTAATTTTATTTATAGACAGATGAGATAATATTGTTCAACACACAAAATATTGATACGGGCCACGGGACGCCTGTCACCGACATTGGACATACTCATATTTCAGTAATCGCTGCGTTACTCAACGATTGACATTCCAAACACGTTATATTTACTATTTATTATAAAAATGTCTAAAGTAAGTATCTAGATAAGAAAACACAATTAATTAATTGTAACTTGTAAGTTGTTAAATAAAGTTGTAAATAAAATGTATTCATTATAGTAAGTACCTACAGACTAGTAACAAGTGTTACTTTGGGCAGACAAAGGTACTGCAATCCAGAACACTTTCAACAAATTTAAAGATTCAGATATATCGGACACTAATAAAACCAGTAGTAACTTATAGGTAGGAAACATGGACGTTGCGAATGACAGACGAAAACTCATTGATTGTTTTTGAAAGGAAAATACTTAGGAAAATATATGGTCCATGTAAAGATATCAATACTGGGGAATGGAGAATCCGAAAAAATTGAGAACTAAAAGAAATGTATCAAAACCTGAATATTGTGAAAGACATCAATAAGAAACGAATAATCTGGGAAGGACACAATGGGCGTAAGGAAGGATTGCTGCTGAGAACAATGATAGAAAGGGTTCCACAAGGAAAAAGACCACTGGGACACCTAAGATTAAGATGGGAAGACAGAGTAAAAGAAGACGTAAAAGTAGTCAGGAGAGGATTGAAAGGAATTATCGTTAGAAAGAGAAAGTTGGAGGCAAATTTTCTGGATGGTATGGTCTTGAAAGCCGAAAACCACGAAGAAGAAAAAGAAGAAGAAGAAATACCTACAGAAAAATTCTTATTTTTTGTTCAAAAAAATTCATTTTAAAATGTATATTTTGTATATTAATGTGCATATTTGGTGAATTTTTAGAGCTACAAGTCCTCTACCCAAATAATAGTAATATAAAATTATTCAAATAACTTACGAAAAAACCATACATCCATTCAAAATTGTCCAAAAGTGACCATACTGTATAGCCAATAATATTACAATTGTCTTCATGTATTGCTTGTAATGTAGCATGTAAATAACCCTATATAATTTAAAAAAATTAAACAATAAAAATGAATGAATAATGTATTAAATATTAATGAAAGTAAATGCCTTTAGGTAATTTATTCTATCAAAATCATTTAATTGTCCATTGTCGCCATATCCATTTTCTGTTATAATTAAAGGTGGATTTCCATATTCATTTTTTAACCATATCAAAAGTTGTCTTAATCCATCAGGTACTACCTAAAACCTTTATTTTAGTAATTTATACCATGGAAAAATATAAAATAAATTTATTTCTTACTGCTATCCATGGAGCTTCAGGTGATATGGGCCATGACTCATCTACTGATGTAGCATATTCTGCATCTGGATTATAATTATATTTTGGATCACTACCATGAGTAACTAAACGAGAAGAATAATGATTAAGGGCATAAAAATCAGCAGTGCCTGTAAAAAAATAAAATAATTTATTAAGAACGATTTTTTTTTTTTAATTTTTGTATTTTGAGGTGTTCCAAAGATCTTTGCGATATTTTTCATGAATGGGATAGTTGGGGATCATAATATTATTTATATTATAAATATATTTGTAAGATATTAATGATACTATTCTACTTTTAAAAAATAAGATACAAATGTAATACTCTTCTAGTGGAATGTGCAGTGGGTCATAATTGAAAACTGAATGACAACTAAAGGAATGGTGTTCAAATGTTTAAATTAATATGTTTTTAACACTAAATAAAGAATCAAAAATATGATTGTGTGGTTCTCGGGATAATTACTGCAGTACTTTAGATTTTTAGTAGTGAAAGGTCGAATCTGATTTTTCCTTGTCAAACTTAACTCAAACCGAAAATTGTCAAAATATTACGGACTGGAACTAAATTTATAAATATTCAAACAAACCCGAACCAAACCAAACTATTAAAATTTTTATCTAACTAAAATTCAAACTCATAATTTGTTTCTCTTTTTATAAATAGATTGAAATTATGAAAATTTTACTTACATTGTACAAAATCTAACACACCTAAAAATATATAATAAATTATAATAATTATTAATTAATATCCAATACTATTATTTCTGATAAAAATATTAAAAATATAAGATACAAATAAAATTTATAATTTTTCTTTTCATTTTTCCAAAAATAGATTTTTGATTGTGATCATATTAACACTCAACAGATGAAAAATAATCTGTGATAATATTACATATAGATATTTACAAAATTAATCACATGCTTCAACATGGAATTATTATAATTTATCATACCTAATTGAAATAATAAAAAAATAAAATAAAAAAATAGTAAAACCTACTATGATACTTACTTTAAATTATAAATTACAGAAAATTAATTTTAAATTGTTAGATTAATAATGTTTACAAGTTCAAATTTTTAACATACCTAAATGGTAAATAGTTTGGTTTGTTTTTTTTCATTTAGGGTTCAGTTCAACCCATCATTAATCCTTAATTATATTATTAAAATATAAAATTAAAAATTACTATTAAGTTAGTACCTTTGATTAATTCAATTTCATAATCTGTAAATTTTGGTAATGTTGACCAGGGTCTTCCTTCATCTAGACTTTTTTTATCTACCCACTCTCTCATTACGGGTGGATAATCTCCTTTGTACACAGGATGACTAAACCATCCTCTCTAAATACAAAACTATTAGATTTAATAATGTTAGATAATTATAGGCATTACAAAATATATTTAGTACTTCAAATTGATTTGCTCTCTCAGCAGTCTTTATATCTTCAGGTGAATCTGCATTTTTTGGTATAAAGAATACACCATTTATTGAAATACTTATATTACCTAAAAAAGTAAGGAATTTAAAAATTGTATAAAAAACCTAACCATGGTTTTACTATGTAAATATACCTTTTTGTTGGGATTTAAACATATTTTCATACAATCTATACACTTTTCCATGGGCAATAAGTAGTGTATGAGCTGCTAAATAATAACCTGTATTTTTTAAATGTAAGTATGGAGCATAGCCTTTATTAGCATAACCTTGACATACCTCCATTGGTTCATTAATTGTTATCCACCATTTTACCTACCACAAAACGTTCTATAATGATAAAGAATTCATTTTATAAATTAATGAAATAATTTACTCTATCTCCAAAATGGGTGAATAGCACTCGAGCATATTCTTTAAAGTAATCTGACATAATTGGATTAACCCAACCTCCTAGATCTTGAAGATATTGAGGGAGATCCCAATGATACATTGTAACCTGTATTTAATTTTTTACATAGTTCTATAATGTTTTATACTGTAATGTGAAAATACTTACAAATGGAATAATATCATTGGCAATAAGTTCATCAATAAGACGATTGTAGTATGCTATTCCATCAAGATTTAAAGAGTTAACTTCCCCAGATGGTACTATACGAGCCCATGATATTGAAAAGCGATAAAACTTCAGCTAAATTAATTCAAATAATGATTTAAATTATACAATTAAGACTATTTTATAAATTAAAACAAAATACAAAATATTTACATTTAAATGCTTAGCCAGTGCAATGTCTTCTTTATACTTATGGTAGGAATCACAAGCAATATCTCCATTGGTTTTATCTTTTATTAGTTCTGGTCTATTATGAACCAAATGATCCCAAATGTTTTCTCCTTTTCCTAAAAGTAAACATAATATATGGTTTTGTCATTGTAATAAATATTTTGTATTGTATAAATTATGATTATAGTATTCCAACAATAAATATAACTATAGAATAACAATATTAACTTTTAAACATATTGACATAATATGTGTGTAGTGATTGGGTTTAATTTGAAGATTACCATTTTCATTCCAGGCTCCTTCTATTTGATATGAAGCAGTTGAAGCACCAAACATAAACTCACTTGGGAATTTATAATCCATAATTGTATTTAGGTACACGTGAAACAGTAAATATTATGATACTGAGACGCAGAAATTTTCATCACATAAAGATTCAATGTGTTCAGAAATGAATCTTTTCAATACAAACAATTTTTATAATTTAACACCTATAATAAAAATTATACTCTTAGTTTTTAATACTTCCACACAAATTAAACACCTTTACCTTTTAAACAAAGGAGACCGAAAATATCATTGAAGCAATAATATTGTAAGCAACAGGAATACTAAATAGAACAGGGTTAATTGATTATTTATTTGTTATACGGACTGAACCAATTTCGTACTTATCAGTTTAATTTTTTTTTTTTACAGACCATCAGGGGTTATCAAAATATCATGATTTCATAAATAACCGTCAGCATATAAGCATAGTACATTGTTAAAGAACCCAATGAAAATACTGTTCTACGATTGGCTCTAATCCCCATGGGATTAGATAACCTTCGTTATCAATTATCTGTTATCAGTTATCAAATTTGATAAATTACAGAAATTATATTTGCAAATAAAAATTATTTATTTATTAAAATATTTAATAATAAATATCTAATAAAAATTTAAAATAATAAATGTTGTTATGTATTATAAGACCCTTAATATATATATAAAATATCTAATATATAAATTTATCTACCAAATAAAGATATCAATTTTAAATTTAATATCAAATTTTTATTTCCAGATAAAACATTGTTTTAAATAAAATATATTAATTGTGGTAACTAAAAATTAAAAATAATAGAAATAATTATAAATCATATAATCATATCAACAAACAATATAACTTAACATTTTGTATTACTTATCAGTCTGTAAAAATAAAAAAAATAAAAAAAACATATTGTAAAATCAATACATTCATCACTTCGTTCAGAATATAAAATATATACATAATTATAATAGTTAAAATATTTATCCTGTATTTAAAAAAAAAAATATGAATAAAATATGAATTAGAAATTCAACTTTTCTACCTATAAAAAATATACATATACTAATACTGTAGAATACATTAATAAAACTTTTAAAATAAATAATTGTAATTCATATCAACAAATAATATAAATCAAAATTGTGTACAACTGTTCAGTCTGTAAAAGACTTTATTAGCAAACAATTCGTTGGCCATTCAGAATACCGGAATGGTAGAATGATTAAAATTTAACTCCCCAAATTAAGAAACCTAATTATTGATATCTTCCATACATATGTTTGATCTGATGTTAACGGTATTCCGAATTTCTCCAACAATGTCATTTGTATATTTTTTTGGAAATACCATTTTGTCAAAATTCAAATTCCAAATAAAAGTTAAAAGCTTATAAGCATTAAAACATCTTTAAAATATTCAAAATTCAGAAATTTGATAACTGATAATTTTCGTGATTTATGAAATTCAGATAATTAATAGCGAAGTCGTTATCTCATTGGGATTACAGCCAATCGTAGAACAGTATTTTCATTGGGTTCTCTAACAATGTACACTATGTTTATATTCTAACCGTCAGTAACATGAATATCTTAAATGGTGTATCTGATTTCACTCTATGGGGGAGGGGGGAAAATAAAATCCTACTCAAGAAGGGTGGGGGCTTTATTTATTTTACCCCCTCCCAAAAAAAATCCTAAATGTGCCTTGGGAGTTAAAACCACATTTATTGCACCTGTAAGTAGTTATTTTTTTTAAATTAATAATAAAGGTTTTTAAATGTATCAATTACATCTTCAATTTTTATATTATATGCAAGTTCTGATAAGTCTGATTAATAACTAATAACTTTATTACATTTATTCTCAGATATTAATTATATATTATGAGATTAAAACTGGTTTTACTTTCTTCACGTAAAATGTAAAAATGTTTTCTATCTTATAAAGTATAAATATACAGTTATTAAAGAAAAAGCCAGAGTCCGCAGCCCCCCCCCCCCTGCGCACGCCTATGCTCGTACGATCATGCACGTATGATAGTGTAAGGTCGCGCGCACATTGAATGCGTTTTCGTACGAATTTGATTCGTGCGAACTTGTACGTACACGCACGAATGATCCCGATCTACCAAATACTATGTGAGCGCGCAGACTTGGTGCGATTTGTTCGTACGTATACGTACGTGTAACTTTGACGTACGAAAACAATCCGAACTTGTCCGGATTTCATTAACGTTCGTACGCCGGCAATGGATAAATGAATAAATTAAATAAAATTTACGGAAAAAAACGTATTCAATGTGCGCAATCAATTCGTACGACCAGTATTCGTACGTTTTCGTACGAAACAAATTCGTACACAATGTGCGCGCGGCCTAATAGATAACTTCATGATAGTGATTATCATCGTGTGGACAGCGGACTATCATACTATTGTAGTGTTAGTCGTTAGAAAATAAGACCATAACAAAATTAATATTAAAAGAGTGTTTGAAATGCCTATTAGTTTCTTTTTCAATTCAACTTCGTACCCATAATTTTTTCAATTTCTTATTTCTTTTTAAAGTACCTAATCATAGCAGGGATGTATGTATGGGGGAGGGGGGGCGAGGAGGCCCGAGGTTTAGCCCCTCAAATACTTAAATATACCACCAAAATCGAAACTGTTAGAAATATTATTCGTTGTTTTTATAATTATCTGTTCGTATTTTTGAAAATCGTAAAATAAATAATAAAAAACTATTTACAACAGCATTATTAATACCAATTAGTTCGGCTAATTTCGAAAGAAGTTTCAGTGCAATGCAAAAAATAAAAACTTGGCTAAGGACATCGTTGGTTCAAGATAGGTTCAGCGATATTTCAATACTATATATTGAAAAAGATATATCGAAAAATATAAAAAGCTATGATATTTTGAATATATTTGCTGATACAAATAGATATTTGTCATTAAATATACGGTATTTAGTGTTATTTTAATAACATTTAAACATATCTATATTTTTAATAGTTATAAGTTTTACCAGTGAATGAGAAGGGAGTATGGGGGCGAAGCCCCTGTGGATTATTTTACATTGAATTATTATAGCCCCCCCCCCCAAAAAAATTCAGCCAAATGTCCGCCTATAATCGTCGATATAAATACATACACGATTTCAATTCATTTATTCTGGGAGATTAATTACACATATTTGCAACATAGATCGATGTAGATCGTTTCTACTAAGCCACGACTGATCGCGGAACAGACTATGCACTACAAGGACCTTTAATAAAATATCTACACGCGATCATTATACCCTTAAACAGTGGTATATTGGTAAATATATTTATGAGCAGAGGCGGACTGAGAGTACTTCGGCCAGGGTGGAGAAGATTTGAGCGGCCTAGTTTTTTTTTTTGTATTATCAAAAAATTTGCAGCTTGCTCAATAGGCTAAAATCTCCTAAAAGGGTGTTTAGCATCGCCAATATATTCTAGAAATAAATAATACTTATTATAATTCATAATGTTATATTATATCGTTTTTAATACTTAAAATCTTTTATGTCTATATTTAGATATTACTGAGACAACAATTTATCAGGTACTTATTTTTCAGATAACTAATGATATAGTCGTCATTGTGCATTTGTGCTGTTTCGATCTATTGTATAATAAAATTCTTGATTATATTATGTACCTATTATTATTTTATAATTAAAATTTTTATTTTTATGAATTTGTTTCTGTTTATTTTAATATTTGTTTTAAAGATTTGGCAGAGTATTTGAGATTTATGGAGAGTGAGTGTCAAAAACTCCCACGGGTTACTGATAAGTTAATTTTGGAGGGACTTGAGCACCCCTAGAGTACTAAATGGATTTGTGCCTATGTCGCTTATGATTGGCCAAGCCCGTATTATAATAATTAAGGGCCCGGGGCCAAATAATTTTAGGGGCCTATAACCATAATCATAATATTGGTGACCTACACATAAATATATTTCAGAGACAAAAAAAATTCTAATTTAGAAATTTATTTCTTGCTTTTTTTAATACAAAAAATAAAAATGTTATTTTTACAAATTTGTTAACCGTCTATGGAAGAATACAAATATACTTGAAATTATAAATAATAGTTCGTATAACTGAAGCTCTAAGACAATCAGATGTACAAAATAATTACATTATTTTAGCATTTAGCAATAATAAAACTTTAAATTAAAATTCTGAAATTTCATTAACATTATTCAGATTGTTTCTAATGATTAAGATACACAGTAATGAAGTTATTGAAATTTGGTAAAAAAAAAAATCAATACCAACTTCTTAATAACAATTAGGTTGAAAGTCAACATTCAACAAGTTCGTTTTATTTTATACACATACATTTTAAATAAATTACATTTAATCATCAGTCTAAGCATTATTTTTTATCACCAAACTTAAAATTAATCAATAACTTTTGATGTTGAAGGTTCTTAGATTATAATTATAAATAAATTATTAAATTTTAGTAGAAAAAAAAATTATAAACTTTAACCACACAGTTGCTTATAATAATTGTTAAATTATTTGAAGTTCGTTCAAACTATTAGAAATATATTTTTTGTAAACATAATAAAAATTTAATAAAACACAATTTATTAATATACCAGCTTTTTCATTTATTAAATTGTTAAATTGTGTTTCTTGTTACAAAAAATGAATTTTTTTTCTTCAAATTAATGTGAACAAGTACTAGAATACAATTCATAAATTTAAAATTGTTATGTTTAAAACAAATATACATATTTAAATGCATATGATGAATTAATGTTTTGATGATAAATAAAATCATCTTTTGATGGAACAATAGGAAATTAATAATATTAAAATATTAAATAACATATTTTTTATTGCTTCAATGTTGATTTTTAAGAATAAATAGTGTAATTGTAAGGGATCTATTGATTAGGAAGTAGTAAAAGAAGTAGTTGGAAATGAACCAGGGGGTAATTTGAAATTTATTAAGGGCAAACATTTTGGCCTTAAGATGTTTTTTATTACAAAAAAAAAAAAAAAACACAAAACGTATTAATTATACCTTTCAAAAAAAAATATACATATTTTTACATTATCTGGTGACATAGATAACAGTCTCCATAGTAACTATAGTTGCTTACTACAAATACACAGCGTTGTGGATACCAGTGCATGTTATAATTTATAATCTAATATTTATTTACATTTCATTGAACAGTATTATTGGTGAGTACTATTCCTTTATATGCATTACACATTACAAGTACATTTAAATATATGTGTATATGTGAATATAATAACCACATATAAATATATAGCTAAACATTTTCATGACTGTATGAGAACAACGCAGTGAATTTGAAGTAAAGTAACACTTATGAACATAGTAACAATTCGTAAACTTTTCATACTTCACGTTTATATCTAAACAATGCTAACAAAAAAGAAAAAGAAAAAAACAAAAACAACTTGTACATAGCACTCAGTATTAGCATTAAGTATAGATGTAAATAAGCTCCTATGAACATGTTTCCGCGTTGCTGCATTTTTTAGTTTATAAAAGACAGCGTGTCCGTACATAAATAATTTCCGATTTGCACTCTTACAATAAATATTAAATAATATGTTATACAATTACAAATTTACATGTAAATTAAAATTTAATTATAAAAATGACTAGGAACACAGTGGGCTTTGACGCGCGCGATTTTAATTATGACGCCACAGTTCTTATACTTTTTTCAATACATTTTGTGGCAGTGACGATTTAACTATATAAGTGGAGCATTTGCTTTTATACACATATATATATTTTAATATATTCATGATATATGTATGAAAAAAAAAATATAAATATAATATGTATACCGCGGGAACAACCGGAATTTAACAGAGTTGAATGAAATTGTCTTCTAATATTTTGACATTGAAAATGTACAAATAAATAAAAAATTAAGTGAATACTTAAAAAAAAATTGACAGCTTCATAAAAAATCGCTGATAGTTCTTCATAATTATATTATAAATATTTTTTTTTTAAAAATAGCAAACAGCAATTTTTATTTTTCAATTAAGTTTTGAAATTTTTTTCCAGAACAATTTTTTAAAATTTTTATATAACTTTATGAAATATATTTTTTTCTATATAATAAATATGATTGTTTTAGAATTAAGAAAAAAAAAAATCGTCGAAAAAGGACGACCCTCATAATTTTTTTTTTTGGATTTTTTTTTTTTAAATATTTTTGTTATTTTTTTTGTTATTTTATTTTTTATATATTAAGTTATCATTTACTTTGTCTCATTTATTATTTTTAAGTTTTAAGATTGGACGCATGTTTTATCTTACATCTTGTGTGGGATTTTTTCGTCTTTGCCGTTTATGCATAAAATTACCAAAATGTGGTTGATAATTGCCTGTATACTGATGTTTATTGCCAGTATTTTGTCGGTAGTTTTGATGGTTATTATAATTATTAAAATTATTGCTATTTGTGAATCCACGTTGTTGATAACTGTTGATCGGACTAGTGCATATTATCCTTTGAGTACGTGAAGGAGGGTGATTACCTAAAAAAATTATTATGCTGTATACCCTAAAAATTACTTGAAAATATTATGTATCGTTGATCATTACCAGGATTGATCATTTGATAATGCTGTTGATTATTCCAACTATTGTGTCTATGATAGTGAGGATTTTTACGTCTTGGTTGGTAATTACTATTTTGATCATTATGATCACCAGGGTCACTTAATTTTTCTATACTACTCTCAGAGTCCTAGAACATATATTATTACATGACTTTAGATAACTTCATCTTTTACTTCTTCTTTTACCATTTTCCCAACTATTTGGGATTGGCCACTTTATAAATATAAAACAATATTTTAATTAAAACTTACAGATTCAGCTGATCCAGAACCAGAAGATATAGTAGAAGCTCTACTACTGGTATTTGTAGACACACTAACATTATTACTAATATTATTAGCGGTCAAATAACTATTAATTATCACTCGTTGAGTATTTTGTATGGCATAAGTATCTCTAACCCACTGTCGGTAGAGAATAACTTTGTCATTTACTCGTATTATTCGTCCAAGTATACTGTGAAACAAAACAATGTTATCAAATGAAAAATTAAACTAATGATAAACATAGCATATACATAAAAATACAAACCTATAACTAGAGGAAACAATTTGAGGATCAAGAGCAGCTTTTAATGTAGTAAATGCATATTCAAATACACTTTTTACTTGAAGAGCACCATAAGAACCACGACCAATATCGTTTCCTGGTGTTAATGGATCTTCTATACACAAAATACTTGGCCTATGACCATCAATCATGTCTTTTTGGACCTATAATAAATTATCTATCAATATTTATCTTTATTCTATAGAAATATCAGATTATTTTTCTACTTCATCTTTAGATATATATAGTCCACCATCTTTCACTCGTATAGCTGTATGCATATAATTAAATTTCTTGCCGTAAAGTTCAAAAAACTCTATTAGCAATACACCTAAATTGGCAGTAGGGTAATTTAAATCTCCCCTAGGATGCAACTGTACAAAATAAACATGGCAAATTTAAAAATAATTTAAATAAATGAAATTTTACAAAAGTATACTATACCTGTAAAAAACTGACAACCATAAGAATCAAACTATAAGAAGATATGCCTCCATAGAACACTTCATTCATGTCCCTCTGGGCTAAGAATTGTTTTAGCACCAATACAAGTTTTGGAAGCATAGGAAAAACATCCATATAGTGTTTTATCATTTCTGCTGATTTAACACCATTATTCATGTTAAAACTAATATCCACTCTAACATCAGTAGCCTTATCTGTCATTTTGACAATTGGCACCTAAGCAAAAGATAATAATAAGAAAATATAGATTTAAGATTTTACATAAAAAATTATACATTTTTATTCAATTAGAGATTAGTTAACTCTAGATTAGATTAGATTAGTTAACTATTTAAAAAATCAGGATGTTGACTAAATAAAATAACTTACTGATGCCTTATCAAGAACTTGTATGTTTTCATTACATACACCATTTTTAAGTAATGCTTGAGCAAGTGAATGCAATGGTAATGTATCCCACTCACCTATTACTACCAGATCCATGTCACTAGAGAAAAATAAATTGGTTTTAATTAGATATAAATAACCATACACCATATAAACAATATGTATAATTTCAAATTCAAAAACTTCAAGTTTCTTTTTAAGACAGAAAGTTCTTAATCTGACTCATTTAAAATTGTATACAGCAAAATTTTAGTAAAAGCTTTAAAAGTAATAAAATATATAAATATTAAGTGTAAAAATTATTTAAAATATATTATTATGAAATGCTGACCACAAGACATATTCATATGGTAACCATGACAATTTTAATATATTTATTATTATAATAGAAAACATTGCAATATAATATCTCACCTAGTAGGAAGATATAACCCAGTTCGAAAACTACCAAATACTTCAACTTTGGCTTTAGGCCATTCAGCATGAATAACATTAGTCACACGCTCTAGTACATCAAGCCGCATGCTGTGCTCTTCTGGGGTGGCTGACATATATGCAAAAAAGTCTTCTATCTCTTTATGAAGGCTAATAATAATTAAAAAATATTGAGTACAAAATACCAATAATTTAAAAACATTCCAGACTTACGCGCAAATTGGTTGACGGTCATAACTTTTTCCATGCCTCCATGGACACCCACCAAATTTGCCAATATAATGTGCTTGCATTTTGTTCATATTGTATGTACTGGCTATATTTGTAAATAAGCCGTATTCGTATAGATTAGCTGTTTTGATTTCTTGTTCTTCTATAGAGAAATCAAATTTCCAATCCAACGGCAACGAATAATCGTCGTCGTCTTCTTCTCCTTGAAGAGTTTCAGTACTATATTTATCGTTGTTACTGTCTGTATCTTCAGTAGAGTCCAAGATTCTGGACCAAAATTCTTGAGCGGGACCTACTTGTTCGGGTTGCAGCCAACCTATCTGAGGATCCATTTAATTCATCTCTGCTGCAGTAATGTACACTATAAAAAGTACAATACAAAGTTAAGTGTAATAATGGAAATGTATCTACACTAAATAAAGCAGTTAAGATTGATATTTTATGTATATAAAATAAAAGTTAATTAAATATTCTTGAAATGTTTGTGTTTTACTTATGCAATTTCAAAGTAACATACCCAAATAAAATATTTAAATAAATATTCTGAAAGTCATTTGAAGTTAAAAATATGTTTATACATAACAATTTTTATAAAAGTACTAAAATAAAGGAAAATTAAGAATAGATTTTGAAAATGTTATTTAATATACACCTATTTACTACTCAAGAAACATGAGTAAAGAACCAGTAGGTTCTACAGAATAAATTCTTAAGATAAATTTGATTTCATTAATTGTTTTATATATTTGATTACTAATTATTAATTTAGATTATGTAATTATTTCTGAAATTTCATATTTCATAATTGTTTAATAAAAATATAAATAGAAAGTTAATGTACAATTATTTTATTTTATTTAGTGATCAGATTGTAGTAGGATATATTTTGCTAGTACAATATCTTAATATAGTTAAAAATGAATGTATCATACAATAATTTTAAACAAATTAATACTTCATATGACCCTCATTATTTGTTTCAAAGTTTAGCCAATTAAAATTATCAATAAGTAAGAAGAAAATAAACAAGCTTAGGCTCAGTATTGTTTTTATTGAAAATACAAATGAAAGAAATAACATAACAATACATAAAGATATAAAGAGACAGGTAAATAAGTAGAAAACTGAAAATATACATTTACATAAATATGATTCAAATACCTAGGAGTATAAGCAGCAGAATTCATTGCGCCTGAAGAGAGACAACTCTTATTTTCTGAATATGAATCACCTTAAACCCAAATGTTTACACTATTAACCATATTTAAAAAATAATTAAAATATAATATTTAAAATATATTAAATGAGGGTGTGTCTAATAATGTCATATATTACTTTTTTGGTCCTTAAATTTAAAAAATATTTTAATTAAATGCGGAGAATATTAAAGTTATAAATTATTTCATAATTTTTACGTATTTAATAAAACAATCAAAACATTTACCAATAAAAAGTTAGGATCTATTCCAATACTTACATGAATATAATGTATGACCTATAATTTTTTCATACATTTATTCAGAAAATAGATGTTTCTTTTTTTAAAAAAAAAAAAAAGAATATAAATATAATTGGAAATATTGTTGAAATATAACCACCTGCAATATGCATATTAAACACAGCATTGTGGAAGAGAGTATACGTATAAAAATCTAATAATAAATTTAACTAAAAATATTTAAAAAAACAAAACTGATTGTCATTAGCTAAATACCAGATATGTGTACTTCAACTCTTTATGAGTCTTTTGATTTTCGATTAAATGTTTACAAGTTAAATTGCACCTACATTTGTAACTGTATCTGTAGTATGATAGAACCAAGACACATAAGGGGATTAAATAAAAAAAAGAGACTTAGATTCGCATTTCATGTGTTTCAATGGAGTGAGGGTAAAAGTTTGGAGCGCTCACCGGGGCACGGGCAATGGACAGACACGGGGTAGAGATGATAAAAGAGCGTGTGGTCCACGAACGTTGGGCTGCTGTGCAAGGGTGCAAGTGACTCAGGCCACTAAAACAGCCATTTTGTACCCACCCGAATACTTACTGATAGTGCATGCGATATATCACGGACGTGAATGTCGACTGGCGCGTGCGTTTCGTTCACAACTGTTATGGGACGACGTGTTTGCGGTGGCCCATGAAACTTAATACGCCATTTGAACGTTTATCATTTGAAATAAAAAAAAAAAAAAAACTGAAGTAATTTATGTACACCGCACGAGCAATATATATAAGGTGAATGGCTATTAATATATTAGTATATTATTGTTATTAATATAAAATATACTGTGTGCATGTGTTATGTATATAATATATTATCTTTTATTATTTTTTTGGAAAATCAAAGTATATGTAATAAAAAAAAAAAAAAATTGATTGCCCGTTTTCGGATAGAGCCAAAAAGGAAACACCACTCGTCTTGGAAACGAAAAAAGCTCATGATAAGACGATGGTAAACATCGGCGGCGGCGATGGTTCCATGTTTTTTCACCGGACGACGCGAAAATTTTGTATTAGACCGAAACTTATTTCCGCGTTCGGAGCGTTAGTGACAGTGGTAGCGGCGGCGGCGAGTGCAGACGTCGCGCTATTCGTTATTCGCGGTTGGATTGTATGGAGTATCCACTATCTGTCGTCCGTCGGGAGGAAAAAACAAAAAAAATAAAATTGAAATATATATATATATATATAAGTATATGAAAATATCGTTCGCGCATACGTTTGTTGCACGCTCGTTCAGTGAATTTTTCAACCGTGTATTGATGACAGACTGGTTTCCCACCTCTTCCTCCTCACCATGTAATCTCTGTCGATAACGCCAAGGAAAGAGTGGAACACGCATGCGCAGAGGTGGTCGGGCGGACAGTTGCTATTGATAGCGCGGTCGACCTTCTACTCCGTTCCGCTTTCCGCATTGCCCACCCACATGGCCAAGCGTTATCAGTTTATCATTATGTTTATCATAAGCTCTGTCACGATTCACTGGCGAAATCTCCACACGTATTATAATTTATAATAATAATAATAATATTTTACACTTTTTATAACCAATACGGTACACTATTCTCCTTCACGACGTTTGTCCTACAGCTGCTATAGCCTAGCGTACCTATCTACTGATAACAAACGTGCCGATCAACCGTCTTCGCTCCATACTGATTGCCCATTCGCATTTCACTTCGTACTACGACACTGGACACTGCTGTTCTGATCAGGTGACACCGTTGACCTGACACCTTCTACGCTTAAATCCATCAGTATTTCTTCAATCAAACTTCTACACCAGATAAAATGTCTGGAAAAGTGCTGCTCACCGAAGATGCGACTTATAAGGCACTGGCAGAGCACTATTTGGCCAGCGGTTCGTCGCTGAACATGAAAAGTCTGTTCGCGAACGATAGTGACCGTTTCGACAAGTTCAGGTGAGATATGGTGCTGATAATTCTTGACGTTCAATTTTATTTACCATCTCACTTTCAGCACTTTTGATTCTTCTCCCAACACAGAGGTAATTCAGACATGCTTTGAATCAGTATCTCATCAGTATCAATCTTTGGTTCAATTTTCTGGGTGGTTTTATCATTTCATAATTTGATTATAGTCTATGCTTTTCTTCAAAACTCAAGATCTAACTAAAGGATTTATGCTCACTTAAAAACGCCTTTCATGATGCTATTTTATAATTTCAGATCCATTTTACTAAAAATGAATTATAATTCCCAATTCCATAGATTATTATTTTTATCTGTGATTATACTATAAACATAATTGTTTGTAAATTTGAAATTTTATGCTTTTTAATCAATGCTGATCTCCAATAAAAAATTAGATTTTATTATATGGTTCACTTAGAAAGTTCCTATTCTTAATATCAAGGATAATATATAAGAAAGGAACAATATAGAAAATTTCTCAAGGTTAATTTTTTTTTACCTTTGTGAGGAAAGTATTTATTTATTTGGTATCTTGTATTATAACCTTGTACTGTCATTGAATCATATTTTTTTAAGTATAATATTTGACCACACAACCATGTATCATTTTGTTTTGAATGATAATTTAAAACATATCTTAGAATAGTTTTATTTTATTAAAAATACCTGATAATGTAAAATAAAATATATACTTAAGTACTAAATAATTTAATATTTGGTAGATATTGCTATTAGATGATTTGAGTTTTTATTATGAAAACTGGAAATAGTTACAAAAACAAACTTAATGAAAATGTTTAACTTGGTATATGTACCATAAAATCTTAATCAATATAAATAAGTTGAGTTTAAGAAATAATTTCAAAATAACTTATTATATTTTTTACTATTTTTTAGAAAATAGTAGAAAATTATGTTATTATTTTAATTTATAAGTAAATGTGTTAAATACTTTTTAAAAGAAATCATAATTGAAGTATGATAAAATGTTTTTTAAATTTTTTTATGTATTTTAGCATAAGAATAAACACTCCTAATGACGGTGAAGTATTAATTGATTATTCAAAAAACCGTGTGGATGAAAAGACCTTAGGCCTACTATTTAATTTGGTAAGGAAATACAATTTAGTAATCAATACTAACATAATAGTCATCATAGTACCATAGTTCAGAGTTTTCTGAACTTCACCTTATTCAAATGTCAAATAATTTTTATAATTGATCTATTAAATCATATTTTATAATTTTAAGACAGGTGTGTTGTATAATACACATTTATACACACATTATTTATATAATTTTGTAAATGTTATTTAACCAATAATAAATCAATAAGCAGAAAAAAAGTGTACTTAAACATCTTAAACCAAAAATATTAGAAGCGTGCAAAAAAAACAATTAACTTAGCTATGATATAGGTAGTCACTTTTAATAGTGAAACTTTTAGTCAACAAATGAACAAACTTGATAATTATATATTTTATTGACCTTATAAATAGATAGTTTTAAATGCCTTTGAATTTATTTTGTTTAAGCTTATTTAAAGATAAATATAATAAAAATTAAAGTGATGGATGACTAACATTTAAAAAAACCTCATTCTTAACAATATTCCAAGAATCTGTCTAAACACTTTTATTTTGTTGTACTTTAATTCTTTACTAAAATAATTGATTACATTTTAAAGACAATATTGTCTTGTGTCGATAAAATATAATATTTTTATAATTAAGATATAAATTAAATTAATTTAGGCCAAAGCTCGTAAAGTTGAAGAGGCCAGATCTGCTATGTTTGGTGGAGATGTTATTAACATAACTGAAAAACGACCTGTGCTGCATATAGCTCTACGTAATCGTTCTAATAAACCCATATTAGTTAATGGTCAAGATGTCATGCCAGATGTGAACAGTGTTCTGAAGCACATGAAAGAATTTACCGAACAAGTATAACTTTTATCATAATTTAGTTGATAATTTTAATTACATTTTCTATGCTATAGGTAATATCCAAAAAATGGTTAGGATACACCGGAAAACCTATTGAAGATGTTGTTAATATTGGTATTGGAGGATCAGATTTAGTAAGTTTTTGTATTTAATACTTGATCTTCCGATGGAAAATAAATTTGTTAACAATATAGTAAACAACTATTAAATTATTAGAAAAACTAATTTTTAAAGTTCATAATATTATCATAATTTAAAGTGTGTAAGTATAGATATTTCAATTTTGATATATGAGAAAAAAAATATCATAAATCTGTACTGATTAAAATGTTTAAAATATTGCATTTATTGTGTTAAAATTATTTTATACTTTTATAAATTTAATAAATTAAATAATTAAAAAAATAAATGAATACATTTTTTTTTTTATTGTTTTCTACTTTTTTTGTTTGTTTATTACTGTTGTTAGGTATACCTTACATTCATTAATCATTTACGCCATCTAATTTGATGATTGGTTATCACGTGACCATTTAATTAACATAAATTAATCAGATAAATATATAGTATGATTAGGTTTCTTTGCTCACTTAATTTTAGATATTATACATGGTCTACTATCAATTATTTGATCAAACTGAACCCATAGTGAACTGTTGAATAATTCCATAAATTATTTGATATTTTTACATTCCATTTAATTTCAATGGATTAATAATCGCATTTTTTTTAGTTATAATCATGAATGTTATTATTATTATATACTTTGTATATGCTATCACTAACAATAATATAGTAACTGATAATATAATGCCTTTTTCAAGTGCTTAAGATTTTTTCCAAGGTTAATTACTTGTATAGTTGATATTACTCTATTGTAATAATTGTCTTATTCTTAACCCTCTATTATACCTCTACATTATCTTATCTCTTGTGCCATAATTAGTACTAATTTAAAAATTGTAAGCCATACATATTTTAATTTACACTGTTAATTAATTTATATATTTTTATAACCACCATGTTTACATTACCATTGTATATTGCAGAGAATACTAATCAGAGAATTCATGCTTCAATATTTCTTTTTCAGGGTCCATTAATGGTAACCGAAGCATTAAAACCTTTTGCTATTGGTCCCAATGTACATTTTGTATCTAATATTGATGGGACACATTTACACGAAGTATTAAAGAAGGTTAATCCTGAAACTGTATTGTTTATAATAGCCAGCAAAACATTTACAACTCAAGAAACTATAACAAATGCAATGTCTGCCAAGAAATGGTTTTTGGAAACTGTTAAAAATGTATAATAATATCTTATAAAGTTATTCAATTATTTACAAAATTCAATGACTATGAATTTATGATATTAGGAATACAGTGTAGCTAAACATTTTGTTGCGCTCTCTACTAATAAAGAGAAAGTAACTGAATTTGGAATTGATGAGTGTAACATGTTTGGCTTTTGGGACTGGGTTGGCGGACGCTATTCACTTTGGTCGGCTATTGGTCTTTCAATTTCATTATCAATCGGTTTTGAAAATTTTGAATCCTTATTAAGCGGTGCACACTTCATGGACCAACATTTTGTCAACACTCCATTAGAAAAAAATGTTGGTCATTTTTCTTGTATATATTACATTCAGTTGACTGAATATTTATATTTTTGTTTATGCTCCTGTTATTTTGGCTTTATTAGGTATTTGGTACCACAACTTCCATGGTGCAGAAACACATGCACTTCTTCCTTATGATCAATATTTACATAGATTTGCGGCATACTTTCAACAAGGTGATATGGAATCTAATGGAAAATCAGTTACTTTAAATGGTATCCCAATTTCAACATATTCTACTGGGCCAATTGTCTGGGGTGAACCTGGAACTAATGGTCAACACGCATTTTACCAACTCATTCATCAAGGTACTCGTCTCATACCTGCTGACTTCATTGCTCCTGCTGTTACCCACAATAGCATAAATGGAGGTATTCATCACAAGGTAATTAGAGTTTAAGTACGATAATAGTATGAATTTATTTGTTATTAATATATAATTTATTTACAGATTTTGATGGCCAACTTTTTAGCTCAAACTGAAGCACTTATGAAAGGTAAAACTCCAGAAGAAGCTCGCAAAGAACTCGAAGGTTCCAACTTAGACTCAGCAGAACTTGAAAAGTTAGTTGCACACAAAACTTTTTCTGGAAATCGTCCAACCAACTCAATTATATTGAAACAAATTACTCCATTTACATTGGGATTGCTGATTGGTGAGTTTTAATTTATTTTATACATGTATTGTTGACCCTGAAGTTATTTATTTTTTTTTTTTTTTATAGCTTTATATGAACAAAAAATTTTTGTTCAAGGTATTATTTGGGATATTAACTCCTTTGACCAATGGGGGTAAGTCATATTGTTTATTCAAGTATAATACTTTAAATATATTGAACAATCAATTGAATAATTTTTTTAGTGTGGAATTGGGAAAACAACTGGCCAAAAAAATTGAACCTGAACTTCAAACATCGGACATTATCAAAAGCCATGATGCATCCACTAATGGCCTAATCAACTTTATTAAATCTCATTGGTGTTAAATACCAAGAAATTATTTCGTCAATATTCTGTTATTTATTGAATGGTTTGTTTAGATAGAATGTGGTAGATTTTATGTGAAACAAATACACTTTTTACTATTTATTATTTAAATTATTTGTCGTTAATTATTTAAATATAGTTTTTAATAATTTTTTTGGTTATTTCTTACTTTTATTCATGCTGCTTTATGTAATGTTATTTGTAGTTCTAACTTTACTAATAATTTAAATATATTTTATATGAACTAGTCCTACTTTATTTAGTGCTATTAATTCCCATTGTAATTTTAAAAAATCTATGTTTAGAGTCTAGTAAAATTTAAAAATAACCATGATATTAAATCAAATTAACATAACTTTTTCTATTTTCTATTAATAAACTTTATTATATTATAAGTAACTATTTTTATAGTTACAAGTCAAAATATATCTTATGAAAAAGTTACCTTATTACGGAACCAACATTTTCATTTTGAATTGTAATTCTGCTTATGAATATACAGTAAAACCACGGTAAGATGGAAACCTCGGTATAACGGAACATTATTTTGGTCCCGTTTCAAATTACGTACAATTAACTAACGCCGCCAAGACGGAAACTCCATTAACACGAAAAAATATCATAGTTCCAAGTGATTTCGTCTTATCAAGGTTTTACTGTACTTCAATATAATACCATATTCATTGTATTTTAATATAAATATATGCATATATAAATTAAATGACAATAATTTGAACAGTTTATTAAACTAAAAAGAAAAATTTGGAATAATTAATAGGTAAATTACAGGAAATTAATCTACAGTAAAATAATTGGTTAGTCATTAACATTTATTTTTAAAAATAACAATTTTAAACTAATAACATAAATGCTTCTGTAATAAAACGTTTAAAACAACAACTTTCCTCATAATTTTTTAAATTTATTACAGATAACCCAAACAATTAATTAAAATGATTCCAAATATTTGGAAAAATTATTTTTCAACAAAGATCTTTTGTCTACTTTACCCATAGCATTTTTTGGAACTTCATCAACGATTTCAATCACTGTTGGTACACTGTAAGGTGGTAATACAGTTTCAGCCCAAGATTTTAATTCTTTTTTTGATTTTTTAGGTTCAACATTATTTGTATTTGGTTCACTTAAAACAACCAAAGCTCCCACTCTTTGTCCCCATGTACTATCTGGTAATCCAACCACAGCAATATCCTTTATGGTTTGGTTTTGCAACATAGTTGTTTCAATAAATAATGCACTGACTTTAAAACCTCCAGTTTTAATTATGTCAATTGATGTACGACCTAATATTTTAAAACTATTATCTACATACTCAACAGTGTCACCTATGAAAAAAAAAAATTATTAATAAAATACAGTATATAACACGGTTGTATATAGTTTTACCAGTCTTAAACCAGCCATCTTCGGTAAATTCTTTTTTAGTCGATTCAGGTTTACGCCAGTATTCCTTAAATACATTTTCTCCTTTTACTAGCAAATTACCAATATAACTTTCGCCTTTGTTCACTGGATTAATAATTTCTATATTTTTGTCATTACCTTCTATTAATACAGTGTCATCTTTGACAATCCGAATATTTACACCAGGTAGAGGTTGACCAACAAAACCTAAGATAATGAGTCTTAACATTGTTTAAATAATAATCTGTACGAGTAAGTATGAACCTGGTTTTCTTTCGCCATTTAGAGGATTAGATAAAGCCATTCCAATTTCACTCATGCCATATCTCTCTAATAGTTGATGACCTGTAATTTGTTCCCACCGGCTGTACAGAGTACTAGGTAACGGTGCTGAACCACTAACCATTAATCTGAAATATAGTTTTAATTATTTAGTTATGTTATTATGTTATTTAAAACAGTTTGTAAATTGGCCTACATAGAATATGAATAAACTTGCCTGATTTTTTTGGGAGCAAACAGCTTTTACATACTCTACCATTCTATCATTTTTTTCAAATACATTTTCATAATTTTCTATAAGTTTTACATACATAGTTGGTACACCCATAAACATGTTAACTCTGTATCCATAATACTGCTCTATAGCTAAAATCCATGTCCATACATCAGCAGCATTAAACTTTGGAAGCATTACACATCTAGAAAAGGATTCCATTCATAAAAATTTTAATCAGTATCATTGGTTTAATTATACTATAAGTAATACCTTGCACCTGAGTGAAGTGGACACATAAGGCCATTAACAATACCATGGATATGATTTAAAGGTAAAGCGTGGAGGATTACATCTTTATTAGTCCAACTCCAGGCAGTTTTCAAACAATTAATTTGTGAATTTAAATTTTTGTGTGTTAATGTTACACCTAAAATTATACTTTCAATTTTTTTAATATGGTTTTTTATTTCAAATGACAAATATTGACTATCACTTAAATAAGTAATATAAGATAAATATTTTCTAATAAATAAATCATAATTTAATCAATATTTTTTTTTCTTTACAAAATAAATGAATAAAAAAATATAATAAATTACTATAATATTTTAAGAATAGATGATATATACCTTTAGGTGGACCAGTTGATCCAGATGTATAAATAATCATGGCATTTAAATCAAAATACTCTTCATCACTTATATTATTCTCAATATTGAGCATTTTTACTTCATCATTTTCTTCAAATGATGTTTTACCAAGTGGTTTAAAATCCATAGTAACATGGTCTTCCAATAAAAGATATTTTTGTTGAAGTTTTTCTGCTAAAGGTTGTACGATATTTTCAAACTGTGCTGTTGTTAATATGACTTTAGTATCACTATCATTTAGATAATATTCAAGCATAGGTGATGGATGCAGAGGACTTAATGGAACAACTATTAACAAAAATGTAATCTGAATTAATCTAAAATTAATAAAATAAAACACAAGATAAATTACCTATTTGTCCACTTATCCAAGAAGCCCATTGGGCAACAACATATGAAGCATCATTTGGACATAAAATTGCTACACGTTCTTGAATTTCACCATGTAATGATTTTTTTAAAATTTTGGATAATGTGACACTGCTGTTGAATATCGATGAGTATGTATGCTCTCCTGATTTGTCGACAATTGCGATTTTGTTCGGCCATTGATATGCTAACCTGTACAATTCATGAAAATTATAGAAAAAAAATTAAAAACAAGATGAATGTATTGAAAAGCTACTACTAGTGCCATTATAATATAGTGAAAAAATTAACCTAAATATTGGACGATTCATGTTTGAAAAATTACTAATGATATATAAAAGCAACTAAGAGCTATAATTTTTTTTTTAATATTAAGTGACCTAATGATAAGAAGGTCTTTTTCATATGAATTATTCATTAAAAATAACCAATTGCTTGGTGATTATTTTTTTATTGTGAATACTATTAGGTATCTGAATTACAGTTAACTGATATAATAATTTACAAAACTATAACACGTACAATACACAGTAGCATGTTCAATGTTTTACTATTTAACTAAGATTTTAATATAATGTAAAATCTACATTAGATTTAGTATATCTACCTATATATAGGCGCTAGAGAAGATTTGTTCTTTAGGTTGTATTTGAATGCTTCAGAGCATAGTTGTTGCTTGCAACAACTATACAGAGGTTTATGCAATAGTTTCCTAAATAATACCATTTTCTGTTTGTCTTAAATTCCGGACTAAATTAATACGGGTACATTTTGAATGAATAATACTGTAAAACAATATAATTAGTCGAAATTTTTGTTTTATTCAGTTTGTGCACTAAAAGGAATATTGCTGAATGTATGGGTAATTATGACTGGTGATTAAATCGATAAAAAAACTTATCGACAATTCGAACGTTAACGTTGTTTAAGCCATAGAATATATTACATTTTAATTGTTTAATAAAAACTGTGTTTAAGCTAGAAACTAACGTCCATTCGTCTAACAAAATTACAACCGCACGGCAGGGTTGCCAGATGTTTGAGTCGTAAAGCCAGTAGAGGGCGTTAAGGTCGCCTAAAATACGAATGGATCTTTGCAGGAAAAAATTGTTTGTGTCCGTATATAATATTGCCTACATTTAGCCCCTTTTTTGTAGCTATCAAAATGTGATAACATTGATAAAACGATAACATCATTTTTATTATAATAATTTTATATATTACTAAATTTAAATTTAAATAGTTATATACATTATTAGTTAAATAAATGTATTAATACATGATTCGTAAAAAACACAATATTCACTTACGATCGTCATTTAAAAGGTACAATTCAAAAGTAATAAAAAATATAACATTTTTATTACTCTCATATTTCTCCATACCTCTAAGTTTAAAGTATCATATTTTAATCTTTATTTAACAAGAAAGACAATGAATTAATTGTAAGATATAACAATACTCAATCATGGCACCAAAATGAAATTAGTAAGTTAAGGTTTACTACAGCTGAAAGAGCAAAATTTGCAGGTAGCTTATTTTATTTTATATAATACCATACTACCATCTCTACTGGTTTCTGTTCAAAGGGTATTAAATGATGTCCAAGATTCTGTGGAAGGAACAACATTAAAATGTTTATAGTATAAATGTTATGACTCAATTATGAGCCAAATAGTTAGTAAAATATATTAATAAACAAATTTTTTATTTTAAATACTGTGCAAGATGATTTTACCACAAATTTAGGAAAAGATGATTTTTGTATTTGGAAATGACTAAATCTGTGTTGATGGGACCCATGGTTTAAACTTTAAACAGTTAGGTACGATTTTATAACAAAAATACAAAATATTAAACCTAATTATAACATTTGTATTATATTTTCGCTTGAAGTATTCGTAATTGATTGTGTATTTTTAAATTTCAAATTACGATATTGTGTATTTTTTTCGAATTGTGTATTATTAAATTTATTTAACCATTTTAATTTTAATTTAGCAATATATAAAACCATAGACCTTATACCTTATAAGGTCTATGTATAAATCAATTATAATAAAAATGATGTTATCGTTTTATCAAAGTTATCACATTTTGATAGCTGCGAAAAAGGGGCTAAATGTAGACAATATTATATATGGACACAAAAAATGTTTTTCTTCGAAGATCCATTCATCCCAAAATATACCATTATTTCAAATAAGTCAGGTAGCTCAATATAGCCAATATCAATGTTTAATTTATACAAAACTTAAAGTTTTTAAATTATATTATTTAAGTTGTTATATTACAAAAATATTATGTACTATACATTATTAATGTACACGCTATAATCAGTATAATCTTCATGTTCATTAAAAACTTGTAAATTAAGCGCTTCTTCTAATGCACAATCTTGAGCATTGTTGCTGTGGTTGTCATCTGAATTACTTACTGCTAGGTCTTGATAATACATTAAAGAAGTAAACTAGATATATTATACAACATGGTCACTCTACTCAAAATACAGTAACCAATTCCGTAACTGCGACAAAAACCGTTTTTATGTTCAATAATCGAACGTCGTACTGCCCGGTGCATTCGTTTAATCACATTTTTTTTCATTTCATCAATAATCCTCATATCCTTTTTTTAGGAAAATGGGGGGCCAACTTCTAAACCCTTCCTGGCTATGATACTGATCAACCCCCCCAACATCACATCCATTTACGTGCCTGGCATATAATATAGTTATTCCGTGGTTGTGGCTTCGGGAGCCTATTTTAAAATAGTCTCCCGTTGACGATATTAGGTTAAAAAAAAGGCGCCCAAAACCACCCATTTATATTTAAATAATAGCCCAATTTAGGTATACACGTCAGTTGAAAATTTTGGGCGGCGATATTAGGACCTTTGAGGTAGCCCATTTGGCGAAAAACCCCTCAATCTGACAACACTCCCGCACGGCACAATACCAACGACAAATACAAGTACATATAGTAGATGATAACACGTATAGACAATAGAGATGGAAAGTTTAGTTCATTTCTGAGAATAGTTCATTAGTTCACAGTTAGGAACTATTCAAATGAGTAGTTCAAATGAACTATCCTTAAGTTTACGTAGTTCACTAATTTTATTGATCATACTGATATTGTTTGGCAATGAACTATTCGTTTTCACTATTAGTACAGCAGTACACAGTTCAATAGTAGTTCACATTACTTATGGGCAATTAAGTATTTCTTATCTTATTGTAAACAGCTGTTAACCATTTATAAGATTTCGAACAACAAACAACAGAAAATTTTTAATACAGTACAATTAATAACAGTTACATAACAATTGATAACAGCCAACGTGATAAGAAAAAAAAACCTAATGCCAACCTCCAAAGTGTAAATAAAATCTCAATTCCCTTTTCGTTTTCCAGCATGTAAATGAATAAATAAATAATTGATTTCATACCAATAGTATTTTTTCGAAAAATGTATATGTACTAAGAAATTTTGTCATCTTTAAAATAAAACTCTGTTTAGTTAGTTTTTAATCATTGAAGTTAAATTTTAATCGTTTATTATTTAAATTTAATTAATTGATTATACTTTAATACTTTATATCATAATTTATTTATACCATGTACTATAATTTATCATACATTTAAGATATACATATATGATTATAATATTAATCAAATCTTTGATATCCCTATAAGAGTACTAAAGGAATGCTTATTAAAAAAAAAAAAAAAATAACAGATTTTAACTTATTTGGATTTTAAAAACTATAGTCAAGTCAATGGGATATGTAATGAGGAAAATGATCGATATTGAATGATTAATGTCAAATTTATTGAGTTTTAAAATGTTTTTCAGTTATTATTATTATTTTGGTTGAGTTAATTATATTAGAATCTTCACATTTCTATCATTTATTAATCAAATAGTGATAAATTATCAACAGAATAGAAGCATTAAAAAATTGCTATGAAGATAGGTATTCCCAACTATTTACATAATTACAACCATTATTTTTAACTATATTAGTTACTTTGCCGGTCACATCTGCATTCAGCGACTTCGTTTTTATTTCGACATCCTCTTCAACACTTCGATATTTGAAATCATATTTACGAAGTACCTACTAATGGTAAAAATCGTCTATATGATTTAGCAGTTATGAATATACATCGTGATTTATTAGTGTCAATAGAAGATGCAACACCTACGTGAAATAAGTATTACAAGTCATCGATTAAGATAAATATAATAATTAAACATTATAAATTTGTTTTCAAAATATAAATATTATTGTATACAAATATGGTATATTTTTTCATAATTATATTCATGGTTTATTTTTCAATTAAGGCTATTATTTTTCATAACACCTCCCTGAATTCGCTAACCTGTTAAACAAATTCCATAGTAAAGAGTTTACCTAATATATTTTGACCAATGAAGTAAGTTCTTGTTTTTAACAGTGTTCACTGACCAGTTAGCATATTGAATTGGTCAGGCCGACGAGGTCAGCAAGACGTTGTTTAGGTATATGTTATGCCCATGCAGTCTGACTTGAAAAAGTTATGATATAACAATAACGTATAGTATTTAGTTCAATTTGAGTACAATTTACTAATAGAAGTTCCTCAAATCCCATTAAGACAAGGCTCACATTAGGTTAAAACTTAAAATAAAGAATGACTTCTTAAGGAGGTTCAACATTTATTATTCAACTCAATTTTGTTGAATAGTTGCATCGTATATTAATCATATTTTATATATTAAAATTTATTTAATTGATCCATCGATAGGAAATGTTCTTCAATCGAATTGACAAAAATTCGAATATTTAAATTTATAAATGTAAAAATACTGTATAATATTGAAGTGTATTATATGTTTACCTAATTGTTTGTTTTTACATGTCTTAAAACTCATTTTATGGTTTAGAAACAAATTGCGTTATGTTACCTATGCTCTCCCTCATAATTATGCTACTGCTAATATTAATGATCTGATGACCTGATGTATATAACTTGAACAATTATTATGTTTATGTTATACATGTAAATATTCCTTTAAATAATTTATAATTTAAACATGTTTTAAATTCACGCCAAGTTAGTATTGATAAGCGATAGTTAGGTTTTTATATTTTATATTTTTGTATTTTATTTTCAATATAAGGATTTTTGTAATTTTACGTTGGTTACGTCGGCTAGGTGAAAAAAACTTTTTTTAATTATTATTATGATACGGAAAATTAATTTTTCTAAGGCTAGCACAACCGATCTCTCGAAATTCGATTTTGGTGATAATTCGTTGTTATCAAAATCGGGAGAACTGTACCAGCCCCATGGCCACGCTATCTACTCACAGTCGGCGCTCGTTCGACTTATTTATTATTTGTTTTATCTGCTCGCAGGGGCGTAATTTCAACTTTTGAAAGGGTGGGGCAACTGATTAAATTTGTGGACTTCATAATATTTAAAAATTCTGCTTTACTTAAGATTCAAAATTTTAACACTAAATTATCCATAAGTTATTCTTTAAAAAACTATAAAAACATTTTTACCGGACTTGAAGAAAAGAATTGTATGACCGTTTGAAATTTAAATTCTTACAAAATTGCATAAAATAACGATTTATCCTCAAATGATTTTAAATATTTGTTATAATTCAAAAAGTATAATTTGTAGTAATTTAAAATTTTTACTAGTTATTAAGATTGGCATTTTCTTCAAGTAACATTTTTTTTCAAAATATTATATGGACTTTTAAGCAACCTATAGCATTTGAAATATTCGATTTTTTTACAATTTTTTTTTTATAATCATTGATAAAAAACATTTTCTGGTACAAAATACTTGAAAATTTAATAGAAGATTTCACAGAAGTTGTTCTTATTGCCATTCAAAAATTATTGAACAGAGCCGTAACTAGGGTGAGGCGAGCGAGGCGTTTGCCTTGGGCGCCTAATGCTGGGGGG